TGTGTCCCTCCATCAAGGTAAAGATTCTGTTGGACATTTTGGACATGGATGCGGAATCTATTGCCATGATTTCTTCTGAATTCCCAGCTTTCATTTTTATAAAAATGTAACTCTCAAACCCTTTTCATTGCAGAAAGGTAAGGGGAAAGGGGCAGTTTTCCCCCAGATTGCCTGGAAAGGAATGGGAGTGGAAACTGTAAGACAGCTGGAGTGGCTCAGGAATCCACTACTCAGCCAATATGCTCTGCATTTGCAACAGTAATCAAAGCAACATGGAGTGAAGAATTGTCGCTGTCTGGATGCAGCAAGGTCAGAGTCAGAATCCACAGAACCAAGAACAACTCCTGAGTAGCTGACAAATTTCTCCAAAAAGTTCTTAACCAGAGGGTCAAACAAGATGAGCTGCTGGAAGATGCATGATTGGATCTAAGTGAAGAATTGTCGCTGTCTGGATGCAGCAAGGTCAGAGTCAGAATCCACAGAACCAAGAACAACTCCTGAGTAGCTGACAAATTTCTCCAAAAAGTTCCAAACCAGAGGGTCAAACAAGATGAGCTGCTGGAAGATGCATGATTGGATCTCCAGAGTGTTTTCCTTTGTAAGTAACAGCTGCAGGAGGCCTGATTTGGACAACGGCATGAGAGATGGTGACTGCAGCCATGAAATTAAAAGACACCTGCTCCTTGGGAGGAAAGTGATGGCAAACCTAGACAGCATAATAAAAAGTAGAGATATCACCCTGCCAACAAAAGTCCTTATGGTCAAAGCAATGGTATTCCCAATAGCAATGTATGGCTGCGAGAGTTGGACCACAAGGAAGGCTGAGCGCCAAAGAATAGATGCTTTCGAATTATGGTGCTGGTGAAGATTCTTGAGAGTCCCCTGGACTGCAAGAAGATCAAATCAGTCAATCTTAAAAGAAATCAACCCTGACTGTTCCCTGGAAGGCCAGATACTGAAGCTGAAGCTCAAATACTTTGGCCACCAAATGACAAGGGAACACTCACTGGAGAAGACCCTGATGCTGGAAAAGATTGAAGGTAAAAGAAGAAAGGGATGGCAAAGGATGAGATGGTTAGACAGTGTTATTTATGCAATGAACCCCTGCCAGACCTGCTCACCATCTCTGATAGACCTGCACTTTTACCATTTTGTATTTTGGGCTGCACTTGCCTGATTTCTATTCTTAGGGAGCCACAACTTCCTAAATGTGTTTGTGTGCTGCTGTGACAACTAAACTAGACAATACATGTGATGTGAGACAGGACACAAATGACTGACACAACTTGTTGTCACATATAACAAGTCATATGAAATGGGTTTACTCACCTTAAAAGTTATCAGCTGTTCTGTTGGGCTCTGGAGCACTGCAAGGGAGATGGAGGGGCTTCTGGCTTCCCTCCTGCACTGGCAAGAATGTCTGCAGGGTGGGAGGCTGCTTGTGCTATTTCCTCCTGGCAGCAGTTTCCACTGGCAAAAACAGCACAGGAGGGACGCTGGAAGCCCTTCCTCCTTCAAGCTCTTCAGAGCCCGCCAGAGCAACTGAGAGCTTTTAAGGTGAGTAAACTCAACTTATACAAGTTATGTGAGGCAGCGAGTCAGGTCAGGCACATCTGTCTTGTCTTATGTCACTCATAATGTCAACAGGAAGGCACTTAGGATGCTGTGCCCATTAATTTGGGGGGTTCATGTGCTTTGCTGATCATCTCTCAAGCTGGGGTGTGACCCAGGTGGGGTGAAGCCCCATGCTGATGCTCTTGTTGCTGCTGCTTCCTCAGGCCACATATATTTTGAGTCAAGCTGCTTTCTTCTGCTAGTTGTGGCTTCCTCTGTCTTCCAGTCTTACAAAAGTGCATTTCCTCCTTCTCTTTCTGTGCTGTATAGCTAAGACGGTTGAAAGGTAGGGGGTTAGAAGTGAAAAGGTCTCCTGAGTGAAACAGCTCCAGACTGAGAAATGCTAAAAACTGGCTGTCTTGGTGGAGGCAGGATGAAAACTGACTGAAACTCTTCCTGATGGAGGGGACTGAAAGTTTTGGCAGTGGATAGGAAGCAATTACCCTTTACAGAATGTCTTCCTTCACTGAGAGAGGGAATATTATGTTTGGAGATGAGAAAGGGAATGAACCTTCCAGAAAGCCTTGAACAAGTGTTGCCAGCCTCCCCACTTTCATCTACACACTCCCCCCTCCCAGCCTGAATGCATGTACTGCATATGTAACACCGTGAGCAAGTCTCGCCCCTGCAAGACAAGCCCAGAACATAGACAGCAACCACCATGTTTTGTGTCTCAAGATGGGTCTTGCAACAATGAACACAGCAAATGACCTTGCAGCAGGGTCGACGTTCAAGGAAGCCTTTTGGGAGAAATCAGGGCGTGTAAATGTGCCAACAGGACTAATGCAATTAACAGGACTAATGCAATTAAGTCACACCAGGCTAGAAGATGCCTCTCCAAACATTATATCTTTTACATGGTATGAGATAAATGACCATTAATGCAATTCATATGTTCCCAGTGACAGCTTGGAACCTCTGATTTAAATCTTCCTATTGTACCAAAGCCTGCTGAATACACGACTCAGCATCATGTCTCCAGTTTTGTAATTCTGGAGTATAATTCAATTCAACCAAAAACTTCCCTTTCTGCTGCCCTTCCTTGTTAATTTAATCCATGGGTCCCCAACGTGGTGCTTGTGGGTGCCATGGTGCCTGCCAACACCTTTCCTGGTGCCAACCAAGTGTTTTAGACAGTGGGCAGGGCCAGGTGGGGCTTTTGCCCAAGAGAACTTCTGACTGGGAAATGGAGATATGATCAGCTGTACAGATTTTTTAAAATGTTGCTTTGGCAGCAGCTGCCACCACACCACAAGGATCTTCACTATGTGACTGAAGGTAAGGTGTGGCAGCCATTTTGCAGCCAGCTCCACCTTCTGCAGCAGCCATTTTGTGGCTGCGCTAACCACCCTGTGTCAGCATTCCAAAGGTGCCCGCAGGCTCAAAAAGGTTGGGAACCACTGATTTAATCAGTTTTATATTGATAAGTTGCCAAACTTGCAGGTTATTTCTTCATCCTCTACGGCAGTCCTTTGTTTTCTGAAAGGTACCCATGTTATCCTATGAGTTCCAAACAGTATAACGAGCCTGGTTTCAGAGCCAGAAATCTGGGCCTGATCCTGGCTACAAATTGGACTGCAACTCAGGCTCCCAACACACTTGATCCTTCCTTCTTCCATCCTGATTTCTATGCAGACTAGGATGTCTTGCTCTATTTCCCTTTATTTTCCAAACTATCCTGCACCATACTGAGGAGCCCACTCTTTGCTCCTCTCTGCTAGTTAGGCCTCACATCTGGACTGGACATCTTGGCTCCAATGGATTCCACTTCTTCTTTGTCCTGTTCGCCATTTCCCCACATTTAAACCTCTAGCTTAAAAGTAACACCTGCTCTAAATTGGAGTAGTTCTGGTTGGTTTTGGCTGCTGTTGTTATATTGTTAGTGTGGATAAGGAATGTGCTGCATTTATCTGTGTTTTGATTTAGTATTTGTCAGTATTTGCTTGGGATAAGTTTCTCCTCCTCTCCACTTGTTGTTCCAAATCCTTCAATAAACACCATATTCTTTTTTAGACCTTTAAATCTATTTTCTGTCATCCTTCTCTTGCTGAAATTTGCCACTCATAGCCTCCTCTTTAGGTCAAAGATCCTGATTTTCCACTCCCTGCACAAACAGGGAAGCTAATTCCCCGTGTCAGTCTGAACATATGATCATGTGTCTGTGGGGTCGTGGTAACACAAGTGATTGTTTCTTTGCTTCAGTTCCCCACTAATGAAGATGAATGAAAACATACATTAGTTTAAGGACGGAAGGAACTCACTGTTTAGTAACAAGGCTGCCAAGAGCCACCATGGGCTCCTAGACAAAAATTCCATCTGAGTTCTGCCCCCCCATCCTGATCCAAAACAAGCATCATAACAACACAAATCACTTATATTTCTGTTACTGTGAACAGAATAATAATAGTTGTTATCTGGAAATAAGTCCCATTCAATTAAATCTAGCTGTTACTTTAGAAAGTGACTTTAGTCTCTGGATGCTAAAATCCAAGTAGTTCCCACTCTCTCTTCCCATCCCATCCCACCCTACCCCATACCCCCTTCTCCTGCTGCTACCTCCTTAATGAGGAAAAAAGAAAGCAAGAGAGCAGGGGGCAGATTAGGCAACTGAAACTACCCTGGAAATAATTTTCAGAGGGACCCAATCCATGATCCTCATCAGATTGAAGGTACAGATCCTTAGTAGATCAAAGGGTACAGAGCTGACTAGATCTTTAGGGAGTAATCCTAAACAGTTATATTTAAAAGAATGTCTCATTTTATTCAGTGTGGCTTATCCCCAGTTTTCTATTCCCACCATTCCACATTTATAACCTCTAATACAGTTTAATACAGATCACAACACATGTAAAGAGTAAAAATGTAAAGATTCTGGTTTCAGTGAAAGATGAAACTAGGCAAATATTCCTGCAAACTAGGCAAATATATATCCCATAATCATCACCTACCGAAAGGGCTGGGTTGCCTTCATCCTCCACAGCAACCACCAGCTGGTAAAACTGTTGCCTCTCACGATCTGGAGGGGAAGGGCGAGTGGCAATTTCCCCAGTCACTCTGTCCATGCGGAAGGTCATCTCCTCATTCCCATGAATGACGTAGTAGGAAAGGACACTGTTGAGGCCACTGTCCCTGTCAGTTGCTCGCACCTGAGCCACAGCAGTGCCTCCACCCACGTTCTATAGGTACATGAAGGAGAGAGAGACCATGGTAAGAAATGGGAATTAATGTCTGCCTCATGACTTAGAAACATATAATGAAACACGCTGCTTCCAAAAATGCTCTGTTAAGTCAACTGTGCAATTTACAGTCATTTTGGAAGTAGACAAGGGCTAACAATGTATTTCATATTACCGTATAATGGCCAGGTTACAGTTGCTTTGAATACAGGCAATGATAATCCACATAATGATGCTTACTTATATAATTGATAGATCACCTTTCCATCAAGGTCATTAACATGAAAACCATCACAACCCCCCACCAATAATCTAGCATCTGCAATAAAACAGGCCTGAATTTTATGGATGCAGTTATTCATGGTTTCTGTAGATTACGGGAGGAAATCTACAAAAATTACAAGCAGCGAAGAAATGAGAACCCATGCCCATCAAATGTCCAACAGGCCAGGTTTTGATTGAAAGAGCTGCCCAACGAAGACCATGATTTAACTGTGAAATCTACCCCAATAGAATTTTGCAATCATCCCAGTTCAAAGTGGCCAGCAACTATCAACAAACATCCTACAGCATTCTGGACCAAATGAAGATTCCACATTTTCCTCAAGGGCAGCCCTCCACACAGCGTGCTGCGGTAGGCCCCGGGCACACGGGCCGGATATCATGGGGGGGGGGCGTGACTAATTGCCCCGGAGGAAACCAACACGCGGCCACCCAAGCACACATCCCGGTCGAGGTCCTGTGGTTAGGGGGGAGATGCCGACCAGACGGGTATGGCAAACATTTACTAGTACCTTGGAGGTACTAGTTTTTAAATGCGCATTGTCGGCGGTAAGCCACGGGTGCACTCCACTTCCCAGATGTTGGGGTGTGATCGCGCCTGGATAATCCACCCACCTTCCGTGCCTCTCCCACAGCAACTTTGCCATGTGACTGGGGCTGTAGTCAAGCTTTGGAAATAACTGTGGTAAACTCCAATTTGTTGCTGCTGGGGCTACTCAGCTAGGTCCGGGTTAAGGTGACATGACAAGAGGTGTAGGATCACCAGGCACTAGTGGCCCTTCAGTGCAGCACTCCACTGACTTTGTGGCTTGTACTTCACATGCAAAATGAGCAGTTGATTTCACAGAGCAGCAGACCAACACCAGATACAAAAGGAGAATTTAGATAATCTAATAAGGAAGCTAAAATAATCATAATATGCATAAACCCCACCAACTACACAGATAGCATATTTGTCTAGTAATCATACTGAAATGACCTTGTGCAGGGATTAGGCTGTCAGAAGCATAGCTGCCTTTTTCATGGCGGATTATACTTCTGTTGCTCAACAAGCAAAATCCTCTGTTTTACAAATTGCAAATTACAAGCCATATGCTGGCCAGAGAACTTTCTTATGTACAACTAAAGCAAGGGGTAAGGCAAAGCCTGTCATCAGATCTCCTTACAGGCGAACAACCACATCCACTTTGTGGGGCAGGATGGGGAAAGACAGAATTGTGAGCCTCTGTGCAGAAAGCCAACCACTAGAAAAGCTTACCTCATTCACGCTAACATTGTATCCATATGGGTTTGTAATGACAGGCGGGTTATCGTTAGCATCCAATATATTAACCCTTAAGGTGTGCTCTTTTCTACGAAGTGGGATACCTCTGTCAGCTGCCTGAATCTGTAACGAAAACAAAAAGATGGAAAGGTCGTAGCCTTGAGAGATCATACCTTTCTTCAAATAAGACAGTTGCAGATACCCCCTCTCCCAAAACCCATACAGTTGGTACAAGAGGCTTAAGCTCAAGCAACTAGCTCTAACAGTACCCAACAGAAGTGAACATAGCAAAGGTAATAGCTGTTTCAGTGAGTCATGCCAGAGTGATCCAATGGGTAGAGCCTGAGTCAGCAACTAGCACTATCAGTAGTCCTCTGAATAAAGGGTCATTATCTAAGCCTTATTCCTGAGTGTCTGCCAGAAAGACTATTGGCTGCTTTTACCCTCACTACTTGCAATAGCTGCTCATTTATGGCCCTGGACAAGTCACTCTCTTTCAAGTCTAGACTGCCTCACAGGATTGTTTTGTGATTAAAGTGCTTCTTGGGAAGCGGAATATAAAAAGTTACAAATTAATGACAATAAAAGAGGCAGGTAGAGAGCAGAGGCAACACAACTATTCTTTTGGAATCACTGCTGTAAGTCCAGTTCTGCAGCAGACTGTTAAAAGCAAATACAATCTTACCAAGCCAATGAACTATGCAATGACTTTCAATTTGTGTCATAAAACATATAATTTTATTTTACAGGATGCAGTATTTCAAACAGATGTGGAAATAGCACGTATCTCATAGAACTTCAATTTAAAAATACAACAGAAGTATAATGTTTCTGTCATAAAAGTATCAGTTTAGTAATCAGCTGCGTTGTAACATGCAAAATAGCACACTCAGGGTGCGTTCAGACAGGGCATTTGCAACGGTATAGGTGCCGGTTGGAATCGGTGTACTTACCGGCGTTCACACGGCAAACATCTGCCTTCCATCCCTAACCATTGCAAAGAGCTTTAAACCGTTGTATTCTGCCACTAGGTCCCCAAGTGTTGGTATCCTGAGTGCAATGGTTGTAATCGCTTTACCCGCTGTCTG